ATATATCTTTTAATAGTTGCCTGTCACACATTTAACAGAACAAATTCAGATAAAACTCATCCCTGGAGATATGGGTCTTGTAGCTAAGGGTAGAATAGTTCAAAATTACTATGTGATTAGTTTCAGCAGTTAGCTCTTTGCAGATTTACTTGGCATTCTGACCAGAACCAAAAGGTGTTAGATTAATGTGAAAAAGACACATTAGATGACAAAAGCCAGCACCTGATGTCAAGCTCGCTTTCCCACACTGAGGCACAGCACARTACTCCCAGCGAATGTTCAGATCTGTGGTGTAACACCATGGCTTCTCACTGATTCCTCCGGGGTTCCTGCAGTGGTTCTCTGAGTCCATCAACTCTGGAATGACGTCCACAGAGAGGCGATGCTGGTGGGGTACCTGGAAGAAAGGTTTTCATTTTTTATTAAACTCTTTTTTTCTCCCTTTCTCAGAGACTTATAGATTAAAAAAACTTCAATTGTATACATAAAAACTCACATTTGTAAATAGGGGCTAAGATGACACATTTTCTGGAACATGTGTTTCAGTGTAAGAGTTCAAACAGTCATAAATTGTTCTGTTGTGYACATCAGGGAATTTCTTGACTGAGTTTGTAATTTACACTGCCAACTCAAACATTCACGTGTGCCATAATCATCAAAAAAGTGCCGGTCAGATCCAACCTGAGAGACACGAACATGTGAGCAGAGATGGCTGAATCAATATACATCTGCAGCTGAAAGTGTGAAGCAAATTCTTCTGACTGACCCCAGAAGACCCCTTGTTAACACTGTGTCTTCAAAACAAAATTATGCAGTAAAACAGTTGTCACAAACTTCCATTAGAATAATAAAAAAATGTCTATTTTTCCTTTGTGCATCCAACCATGCAGCCCCCATTCCCCCCCCCCCCTTCCAGATGTTTCTGCAGAACCATAACATTGGCAGAACAAACAGAGAACACATTCTAGAGTTTTCTATTCAGGACAAAGTTGGTTTTGAGCTGCCTTAAATTATACAGTAAATTCTGGATTGTTTTTCTTTTTTAGATTTTTTTTTTACATCTTTTGAATTCTTACAACGTGATGTCGTAAGCTATTTTAAAATACTGCCAGCTGGAATTACTTCATCACAGTCATTGATGAATCATGCCTGGGAAGTTAAACTGCCCATCTTGAGGGAATGAAAATGTGTAAATAAATGTGTCAGTGTCTTTGAAATAGGATTCGGTGATCATTCGACTCATTTCATAAACTTCCAAAATGCTTCAGTTCTCTGACTGAGTCATTAACCACAACACTTGAGTGTGTTAATAAAAACAGGTAATATTTTCCACTTCTGTGCAGTAAAACAAGTTTAATTTGACTTTATGACTCAGCATAAACTAACACTTCATACTACATCATTTCAACCATATAGATTAAACAGAAATGTGATTACCTTTTTTTCCTTTTTACTTTATGCCCCCCTTTGAAAACCCTATCATAAAAGATAAATAAAAGATTGCAGTGCTAAGCTGCTAATAGCAGAACTAGTTTCTTATTTAGCTGATTCTTTTATTTAATTAACTTT